CTAATATAAATTGTAAAATAGTAGAAACTATAAATGATGTTATACACAAATTAGAACATTAGGTGATATTTTGAATTTGTTACATAACATCATTTATAATATTCACAATAAGTGGGATTATTTTTGTACAGTTGCTGATGAAATTTTGATATAGTTGCATATATTAATAATCACAGAGACATTTCTAAAATAAGATGAAATCCAAAATTATATTTTGGAAGGCTATGAAAAAATTTATAAATGTAAAAGTAATAAAGGAGGAGGAGGAATTTTAGTTTTTTTATAAAAAACATTTATCTATAGAATTAAGTAAATTAAGTTTGGAAGATGCAGAAATATTATTATTTGCTGTTGAGATAAATGATTATAAAGTTTTAATAATTCCAATGCTAATATTTATATTTTAAATTTAGAAAAATTGCTAAATGAATTAAAAAACTATAAACACACAATATATTTTGGTGATATGTTATCAATATTAATGAAAAATGATGAAAATAGTAATCTAGTCAATGACTATGAAAAATTGTTAAATTTTAATGGATTTCAACAAAATGTAAATGTTAACACAAGATAAGAACGGAGAAGTAGGCAGTTGGTTAAATCTTGTTTAGATCATGTGTATACAAAACTTACAGGTGTAAATGTAAAAAGTAATTTTTGATCAAGGAAAAAATCTCAAAGCATAAGATGATCTTGGTTAATTTAAAAAGCAGTTTAAAGACAGTAAACAAATTTATGAAAAAGAGTATAAAAATGTTTTAGTGATTAATAAAATAAAAATATATAGTGTTATAAATGATGTAAACAGCTACAATTGGGAAGAGTTCTTAAGTTAAAAGATTGTGAGGTAATGAATAAAAAACTGGCTTGTGTGTTAAATGAAATTGAATTAAAAATACATTTGAGATTAAAATAAGAAAGAGGAATACACAATATAAACCTAATATAGATTCTGGTATTTTGGAGAGTTAATAAGAGAAAAGGATAAATTATGGCATAAGTATAAATGTCAGAAGAATGAAACAAATGAAGCAGCTTATGAAGCAAAGAGAAATTCTGTAACGTGTTTTATAAGAAAGGCAAAAAAATAATTATTATATGGCAAAATGCCCTGGCATTCAGGGTAAAATGAAAGAAACTTGGAAATGCATTAATGAATTAGTAAATAATCATGTTAGTGATGAATCACTTGAAGAAAAAATGAAGTGAAATAAATAAACAAATAAAGTAACCATAATAATGAAAATAATAATAATTATGTCACAAATAGAAAAAATTACCTTCAGAGTGTAATCTCACAGATTAGTACAATTTATTGTCCTCCAATAACAGAAGAAGAAGCTATTAATGTAGTAAATATAATGGATATTAACAAAGGACCAGGAATTGATGATATGCAATTCAGATACATAAAATCATCTATTAATGTATTAGCAAAGGTTATAACATACCTATTCAATTTAATTTATGAAGAAAGAAAAATATCTGATGGACTTAAAATATCAATGATAAAACCTATCTGCAAGTCAGGTAAAAAAAAAGATTTCAATAATTCTAAATCAATATCCATTTTACCTGTGATTGAAAAAATAATGAAAAGGTATGTATACAACAGAATGTTGAATTTTATTGAAAGAAATAAAATTACAAACAAGTGTCAGTATGGATTTATTCAAAATAAAGGTACTGCATTACTATTGGAAAACTTTTCAAATGATGCAAATTTACAATCAGATAAAAATAAAAAGGTACTTGCATTATTTCTTGATTTAGGTAGAGTTTTTGATACATTAAATCATAAAATACTGCTGGATAAACTATACTTGATGGATATAAGGAGAAAGTTACAGAACTGGTTCATGAATTATTTGAGTAATAGGGTTGCAATAACAAGAATTTGAGAAATAATGAGTGATCCAATGACTATAAAATATGGTGTTCCAGAAGATTCTATTTTAGGTCCACTACTGTTTAATTTATATGTTAATGATATTATAAATATATATTTTAAAGAGTAAAATATACCAATATACAGATGATAGAGCTTTAACTCTAACTCATGTTGATATGGAAGTTGGCAAAGAAATTTTACAATTTGATTCTAATAGATTAAGGTAGTGGCTTAATATAAAATAAATGTATATGAATACTGATAAAATAAACATTATGACAATTCACTAACAATATACAAATATTATTAACAAACATTTTTTACAGATTCATGATCAAATATGTAGTAATAAATATAAACATTTATTTGTAAACAATAATTAGTATTCTGATTGTAACTGTACGTATATAGAAAATGTTAATACTAAAACATACTTAGGGCTAATTATAGACGATATTTTCAGTTGGTCTAAACATATAAATATGATTTCCAATAACTTAAGACCTATTCCAGCGCCCCCCAGTGGCACAGCGGTATGTCTGCGGACTTACAACGCTAGAAACCGGGATTCGATACCTGTGGTGGGCAGAGCACAGATAGCCCTTGTGTAGCTTTGTGCATAATTAAAAAACAAACAAACAAACAAAACCTATTCCAGCAAAATTATAGAGGATACGGAATATTTTACTAATTAATATAAAAAATAATTTATGTATTTTTAGCAGAATACGTTACACGTTATGGATTGACAATATATGGTTCAACATGGTACATTCACTTGAAAACATATATATAATTCAAAAAAGAATGTTTAAGATGATAATCTTAAATAAAAATGACGAACTTAATGCAAATGTTACATTAACAAATAAAGTTATAAGAAATAAATTATTCTATATAAATGAACTTTATAAATACATAATAATTTTGAATTCCTATTATAGTTTAAATCATATAGTACTAAAAATCTCATGTATAATATTAGAACATTAGAAAATAAGTATTATGAAATTCCAAATTACAATAACAACTGTGGTACCAGAGTAAAAGAGTATAAAATAGCATGTATAATGAACCAACTCCCCATGGAGTTATGGAATATAAATATAATTGCAGAGTAAAAAAAAATAATAAAAGATCGCTATTAACTGATGTTCATAGACAAACTGATTAATATTCATTGAATGATACTTTCTGCATATAGGATTAATATTATATTAATTTGAATTTTTTAGTATCTATGTTATTGCTTGTTTGTGATAAAAAGTATAATAGCATTACAGAATATTATGTTTTTGTGTTATTTTCAATAAGTTGTTCATTTCAGATATACGTTAATATAAAATGATTTCTAATATCAATTTCGCTTTTTTTGCTTTGTTTATTTATATTTATTGATATATATAGAAAATTCTGGTCACAGTTATTAAGGAGTTTTTCCCAAATAAGCTGATTAAGCTTCATGGAAACGTCTTTATATTCATATGTTTATTTTTTATTGATATGTACATATTGTATGTGACAAAAAACAAACTTTTATTCACCACTCAACATATACAGCCATTTAATAATCTGCTGATTTTTTAGCATCGGTTTGACTTTTCTGTTAAATTTTACGGCACATTCTAAATAATATTAACAGAACTTTGAGTTTTTCCGGGATGCGTGCAATGTAGTTTAAGAAACAACAACATTAGTATGCCTTAAAACATAGCTATTAATAGCTTGAACTTTATTGATTGCTTCACAGGTCCTCCTGACCCGGTTATTAACTGCACTTTGACGAACGATACCAGGGATTTTCTTCTGGTTGAATGTAAGCCAGGTTACGATGGGGGTCTCAAACAATACTTCCAGATGGAGGTTTATGATGTAAATCGGAAACATCTCGAAATCAACATGACAAGTCACAGTAGACCAGTTTTTGATGTAACTAACGTGACCCCTGGAACATCTTTGATTTTGATGGTTTACGCCATTAATGACAAAGGGAGAAGTTCTGTCGTAGAGATGAAAGTTCAGACAAGTTTATTCGCAGAACGTCAGTTTGGTAAGTTGGTCTGGATTACTTAGTGATCATTTGCTACGTGTCTTTTGCAAGCGGATCTTCCTCAGATTTTATTACATATATTTCATCATATGTCAATATTAGATCTTTGTAATATGTCTTTACTGACTAATTTGAAAGTAATATTAAATTAATATTTTTTCCTGATAAATATCATTGCTAATGTAAATATATTATTATTTTGTGTTTCTACTTTTTTGAGCCTATCATTAACTTTAACTCAATGTCATTTTTCATCAGGACTGCAAAATTATATGGTAAATGGATATAGATACATCATTAAAAATCTTTAGTTAATGCATAGTAATTACACAGGCCTGCGATGGTTTCATTGTCTTGAAATTTTTACATGTTCTAATGCAATTCCTGTACACTGATTCCTAAAATGATATCCATTTTCCTCCATCATTTACAGATTTTTCACAAAATATCATATGTACTTTTAAACAAGTAAATCATTTTCATTGAAATCCGGTTACATTTTGTTATGCTTAAAATGTTGACAACCACTGGCTATAGATTTCTCTAAATCAATCGCGACGTGAGAGTCTTATCGATCGTTCTAGAACCCACGAGAACACTGCTAGTATATAAATGGTTAAGAGGCCGCATGACGTGTCATTTATGCATAGTATTTGTTTGTGCGTGCACTTTCACATTGTTTTTTTTATTTTCAATATAATTTAGTTGTCGCTATGGTAACAAGAGGTTGTGTAAATGATCCAAACATATTCTGTTATATTTGTGATAAATTTGTTGTAAAGAAACAAAGGCAAAACAAACATATTACGCGTGTTTTGGAATGAAACTTGGGAACCAAGACAAATCATGGGCTCCGCACAAAGTTTGGGCCATTTGTGTCGATGATTTGAGTCAGTGGACTAAAGGTAAGAAAAAGTCTTTGCCTTTTGGAATTCCAGTGGTCTGACGTGAGCCTAGAAACCACGGAGATGACTGTTATTTTTTGCTCATATGACGCACAAGGCTACAACACACGAAATAAAAAGGAAATTTCTTATCCGAGCCTTCAATATGCTATAAGACCTGATGTACCTGTACCTACTCCCTCGGAGACTCTTGATACAGTTTCATCTGATTTTAAATCTGATGTCAATAGAAATAATGATAGG